CCCATTTGGCATAATGGCAAAATACGATTATATATAAATTAATGCAACAAAGAAAATCAAGGCAGATTATAGACGAATAGGAAAAATAAATATGAGCATTTAGGCCTATATCTATGTAAATATATATATGTGCCAGTGAAGGAATAAGGAGCCGAATTTTCTTACTGTGAAATTATTCTTTTAGCTATTAGTATTACCTTTGCGTTCTATATGTAATAGGTGCTGGGTTAGCGTAATATAGGCCAGGTAATGTAAGATGATTTGCTTTTTTCTAGACAGTGAAATAGAGACTGAAGACCTAACGGGAATATTAAAGATTCCCACCAATGCATATCGTTAAAAAGTATTATACTTCTCATGGCAACTTGTTGATTCGTTTTAAGAAAGGAACAAATATGTATATATATTTCGGCTACAAAGCCGAAATATCAAACGAATGTAAAAATAAATGTATAAGTGCTCTTAAAAGAAGATTCACTAGTTAGAAATATTAAGAGTATTCATATTGGACTTGCAAGTAGCGATCAAACTGAATCAAATACGCAATCATTTGCTTCCCTTACCTAGCCTGGAAGGAGAGTGTGTGGCTGGATCCAAGCAGAAGCTAGTCAGCGAATGCAGCATCTCGACGATATCACTGACAGGTTGAGAAGCGATGTAGCCAAGACAAAACCATCGAAATTGTCCAGGGCTCAGCCGATAAAGATAAAGAAAACAATCGTGGGTTTGATGACGCAGCAGATGCAACCTCTGATTAGTGGTCAATGTGCCGGTACAAAAATTCGCCTCTGATGGTTGCGTGCGATTGAGCTGCCTAACGGTCGTTGGTGATGAAACATCTAGACCAGACTTCAAAGTAGATTCAGCGTTTCTCGGACCAATCACAGCACTCTCAGTGTCCGAACCACGCAAAGGCCAAACGCCAGCTTCATCGCATTCTTCAGCTGAAGAAAGGCTGGAGCCTGACGATGCATGCAGTATACTAGGCGCGTCACGATGGCCGTGGTGGCAACCGAGAGCATTTACTATGCTAGAATTAAGTTTAAAAGGATTTATCAAAGTTTTGATTCTGGAAATATAAGGAATTGCACTGGCTGGGCAAAACCAAAAGACTTATTGCTATAGGCAGCCAGAAATAATGACTGTTGGGAAATAATGGTACTATATTTTTGTACGCGTGGCGCAAACTTATTATGCATTCATTCAACAATGCCGTCACAACTTTGGGCTATTTCAAGAGGTTAAAATTGTTTACTCAAGTTCAGTTAATATGCTTTTTACCATTATTCGGTTCTGGTAAGGGAATAATAATTAAGAGCAATTAGTTTCCTCGCTATGCCACATGCGTCGATCAACCCAAGTATGTGTATATTTAGGAAGCCAATTAAAATATAAATAAAAAGAGATAAGACAAGTATAAAAAGGATGCAATGTTCAAGAATGTTCTCTTAGTAAAAGCTATATCGTAGCTGAAACAAAGAATAACGTCATATTTTGGAATATTGCGACAGTACTTACCATTTCGAAGGTTAAGTTGGTTATAAGTAATTCGTAATGTGATCTCACTGGAAACTGAAAGAGGAATGCCGCGTAATGAAGACTATTGTATTCTGCGGAGAAGGCCTGAACTAACCGTTCTGTCACCATGATGAAGCTGTGCTAAACTTTCATCTGTACTGTGACAGACATCCCAGGAGCAAGAATCCATGCTCTACGAAATAGAGTAAAAATATACTAAGCCAAGATAAAAGGTGGCCGGCTGCAGCCCTAGTCGCTTTTTCATGCACCAAATCTTGCGATCTTAGTGAGGCCTCCCCTGATTTGGTTGACAACCTCAAACTAACTCTACATTCTTGCAGATAAGTGAAGTTACTTCACGAACTGGAAGTGTGTTCGGTGGCAGCTGCTTACTTACGCAAATAAACGAATATACGATCCTCTAATGTTGACTCATGTTTGGGTTTGTGCTGTTTTCTTTTGTGTGCATGTAATGTTTATGTCCTGGGAAGATTCATAGTCCTGGCTAGGCTCAAGGTTATCCAGCCTCCTTCCCTTATTCGGTAGCTATTCTTGCTCTTTCTCTCTCTCCCTCTCTTTAAGCATATCCAACAGCCACAAATAGTTCCTACTCAATTTTCTACACTCGTTCCTAATATTCAGGGCGTTGGCTGTTTGGCTAATCTCTATAGACTCCCTAATCTTACGCTTTGATATGACGTAATGGTAACCAGCAAAACCTTGCCTTTTGAACCAGTGTATTGAGTATCGTGTATCAGCCATCTGTCCAGCGAGCTCAGATTTTTGAACCCATAGACCTTTAAGAGCATAGTCTCTTCTTGATGGGCCGACTGGTCTCATCCACAAAGGCATTACCACATGAGCACAAAACTTTGTAGTATACTGGGTCATATGTGTAAATTTTCGTATTTAAGTAGAGTTTCGAAAAGCAAACAATTCGAATTTTAATTCTTTCCATGCCTTCTTGTCGCTGTACTTTGTCCTCAATCAATACAACTTCCAATAAAGTATAATGAGAGACAGAATTAAAGAATGCTTAGTAATAATTTTGACAAGAGCCGTTAATATAAGGTTTCCGAAAAAGGGGTCACGCCTATTTTAAATTCAAGCAGTGAAAGGCTGCTTGAAAAATTGCGCTGAAAGTTTTAATAGCCTGATTTAAAATGTACAAACATTGTTACAATTAATATGTTCTATATATGTTTCTATATATCAATTGAGATCCTTCGTATATATTGCGACATTGTAATTCATATTAGTCAATCCATAATTTTTTTTTACAATCAAGTCATTATCAATAGTCAACAACAAAAATACCCCATCCTTTCATTCAGTGCTAGGCTCCAGGTAAAAACAGGTATTATTCGTGATTACCTAATCAGGAGTTGAAGGGTTGTAAAATAGTTGCATAATATTTCCCTCCTGTCCTTGATAGTCAATGCCTTTAAGGTCTCTCGTGCAGCAGCTGCGGCAGTTGACATGTCCGCCGCTTCGGATCTCAGGATTTTTGCGGCTTCAAAAAAGGCGGAACCTTCGTTAGATCCAGTATAAGAAGGATTCGAAATCTGCTGAGGTCGATTATGCACACGATTTCTTATTAAATGACGTCCATATGTTTGATTTAAGACTGAGGAAGACTGTTCTTGTTTTATATAAGGCAACGGAGACCGACCCGTTAGGACAGAAGTCAAGAGCTTCTGCTTCCAACATGCCGCTGCAGCAGCCGTTGAGGATGAGGCTGCTGGTACTTTATAAACTGAATTGACATAGTTCAAATGCCCCAGTCTACCAACGGGAGAGCCAGGAACCTCACTAGCAGGCAACATTTCGCTCAGGCTGAGTGACGGAGTACCCGAAAATTTTGGCCGCAACGTAGATGAAAGTGCGCGGCCGTGTATATAGCCCTCTCCCTTAGCACTTGAAGTAACAGAGCCTAAAGCAGCTGTGTAGGCGTATGCACGCTTCCTCATCTGTGTAGTTAAGCCAACTCGAAAACTAAGGCCGCCCCAGCGCCGAAAGCCAGAAAGAGTGTTGTAATCTTGTCCACAAGTCACTGCATCCGCTGGTTCTAAAACTGCTTCCGCAACCAAGCCCTGTTCACCACCACTTTTAGGGAGATTTGCTTTTTGCTCCTTTCTTACTTCTTCACATCCCTCTACCGCCTTCTCTTCCCTAGTTTCTTGTTCGTTATCCTCTCGGCAAATCAGCCCATCATCCACCGAGAGACCAGCAATATCTTTGGAGTAGCTTTTCTTCGAGGTCTCTTTACTTGTGGCAGAAACGCGTCGACTCCGCAGGCTGTGATCATGGATAACTCGGCTTTTTGGTGAGGCCAGTGCCGGATGATTCAACAATGAGTTGCTTCTCTGCGAATACCCGGCCGCACCGTCAAGCTCCTGATCACCATCCAAAGCTGCCTCTCCTATTCTATCTTCTGAAATACACAAGCGATCATTGCCGCTCTCTACACCCTTTGCTGAAATTCCGACTTTTGCGGCCTCATACATCATCACTGTTTGATCAGGCAAGATCCTATGGCAAGAAGCGAGTTGAATTTCTGTTTGACTCAATCCGATGACATCGGTTTCACTCATATTGCTGTTGCCTCTGAGTGTTGAACATTCAGGAAAAGGACGCTGCTGTTGCGGAGATCGGCAATTAAGAATTTTGAATGAACTGTCACATTCGCCAATGAGGTCTTGACTATCAGGGGCAATATTACCAGAATGCTTGGATGACAGGGGAATGTGAACACCCAATTGTAGATTGGGGCAGGCTAGTGAAGAGCTTTGACCATGGTTAACAGCAAAAGCTGTTTTTGAAGCCTATAATAATGATTAAATAAGTATAATAGAATGGCAGTTTTAAATGAAAAAATAAACAATCACTAAAGATGAAGGACTTTACAGGTAAACATTGTCCCAAAGTTGCCCAAAGTTAAAAGTGATTAGCTTAATAGTATCTGGACAAGTTTTAATACTCGAAATCTAACTGTTTTGGAGCTCGAGTGCATTCAGAACCAACAACATTAAAGGTATATCTGTAGATCTGGCATAGATCTGACCTCTAAAGCCATTTGTCAGGTTCTTTATAATAAATAGAAAGTAAAGCGGTCAAAAAATGGGGTTTCAAGAAATTTATTGCTGGGTTCACTTTCATTTCGAGTGAAAGTATGTGGTGAGGAGATTCGAAGATTGATCTCACCATAATAAGAAGACAGAGTACTCTTGGTCAGGTGTTGCTTGGCTCCACTGTAGCATTCTCATTGACATCGTTTCCGAAGCAATATCCTGCGATTCCGACGAAAAAGGGTAAGCTTTCGTCCATCATATATGTCAACATCAGCTTACATATAGTTGTAAGGGTGATACCCTACTGTGATGATGTCGGTCATTATGACGAACGAAATCTTGGCTTGTTTCAACTGAAATAGAACGAGATTACCTAGAAAATGTTTCAACAAAAATATCCCACTAAAACTAATCGACAGCTGGCTAAGAGGACTCCACAGTTTCCTTCTGGTGGGATCGATCTACGAATATATTCACCACACATTTTCCCTCGAGATTTAAGTGAATTAAACAAGTTTTTACTTAAAATTAATTAGATAGACTTTAATACAATAAAAGTCGCCAGATTTTTTTTATTGATCAAAACGCATAGCCAACTTTTTCATTGTCTTGAGATTCGGGAGCCTTATATAAAGAGTAGAGCTGCTCGATAATTTTTTGCTTGATTAAAA